TGCCTTACAAATTTATTCATACATTTTGCAAATATAGATGTGGAAGTCACCTCTTGCCGATTGAGTCTGGAAGGTGGCAGGGTATACCGAGAGAAGACAGAATCTGCCGTCTCTGTGACTCAAACGACATTGGTGACGAGTATCATTACATTATGAATTGTGGAACATTTAATTTGGAAAGAAAGAAATTTTTACCGAAATACTGTTTGTCAAACCCTAATATCTACAAATTTGATCAACTGTTTAATTCATCAAATACTGTAATATTAGAAAAACTATGTAAATTTATCAAAGTTATAAATGTGAAAGTCAGTCCTCCAAGTTAATTTTATTGTATTGTTCGCACATGCATGCAAAAATTGTACTTTATAGTTATATTCATGTATGTTCTCTATAACTATGTAATTGTAGTTTCATGAGAAATAAAGTATTCGTGTAACAAGATATAGTGATAATCCAATTAAAAGATTAAAATGAAATGTTTATTTAGACTAATGATCCATTTATCACCTAATATCAATAAAAGGTGTGAATTACAACCGGCACACGTTCATGTAATTAAAACGTTCCAATCGACGAACACGCGCGCGTCTTTAAATTACATATGGTTTATTGGCAAACAATTCTATTATGTTCAATGTATAAATAAAACAGTTTAAGACCTGTTTATATTAATACAGTTTAAGCAAGTTGAATTAGTTTGAATAATTTCAACGGGCAATCTTCTTTTTTTCTCTTACGGTCCAGGTTTCATCATCAACAAGGTATTTGGTATTCAAATATGTTCCTGCATAAATATAAAGTCATTCGTTCTCTTCAATATAATTTTATTTAAAATAAAAACAAATAGAAAAATATTTCAAGGAGATTGATTGAAAACAGTTAAAGAACTTGAATAAATCTGACCGCAGATTTTCAAGTCAATTCAGGTTATTTAATTTTCCGTTCAGGCCCGAGTTTTGACACCCCAACGATATTTTTCATATTTTATTTTAATATTATCATTATATTGAACTTTTAGTTTCATAAAACCTAAGGTTGAAAGATATCCATCGAATATTAAAAACGTTATTGAAGTTAGAATAAGTCCGACCATAGATTTTCAGGTCCGTTCAGGTCTTTTCATTTTCCCGTTCAGGTCCGACTTTTGGCTTCAACAATATGTTTTTTATTTAAAAAAAAATAATTTCTAATAAAATATGGATATTAGCATTTAATAAAATTCTAACTTGAGGAAATTCCATGGAATAATAAAAAAGTTATTGCAATTTGAATAATTTGAGTCGTATATATCTTCAGGTCTATTCAGGTCTTTTCAGGTCTTTAGTGTAACCCATAATTTTTTTGTACAGAGTTTTCATTTCTGGATATAATTATTTGTGCGGAAATTTGCTACAAATTTCAACCAAATTAATTTGTAAAAAATATATTATGCATGTCCACATTTTAAGAAAACAAAAACAAGTGAAGACAAAATTATGACCAAATATACCACAATTCTGCATATTTCAAAGCCTGGTTTGTCAAAATCCAATAAATACGATAAATGCCTTTAATTTATGTATATAATTTATTAGATATGTTATTATATGCAATATATTATAGCAAAACATTGTAGGGACGAAAACATAATGAACTATATATCTATAGAGTCTGAGAGCAAATCAAATTTTTAGTTTGTCCAGTCACTTGTAAATATTGAAAAAAAAATCTACCAAGGGTATCATCCGATCTCACTGTTGTGAATACGAAGGTGCACAGATCAAGATTTTTATTTTAAAGAGAGTCTACCTTTATTTTTGTCGATTTGTACTTTATATAATATACTATATACTAAACCCCTAACGGGAAGGATTGTGCCTGATATTCATATGATGAAGACATAATCTTTCAATCAGTTTAATTGAACTCTGGAGCTGGCATGTCAGTTAACTGCTATTAGTCTGTTGTTATTTATGTATTATTGTCATTTTGTTTATTCTCTTTGGTTACATCTTCTGACATCAGACTCTGACTTCTCTTGAACTGAATTTTAATGTTCGTATTGTTATGCGTTTACTTTTCTACATTGGCTAGAGGTATAAGGGGAGGGTTGAGATCTCATAAACATGTTTAACCCCGCCGCATTTTTGCGCCTGTCCCAAGTCAGGAGCCTCTAGCCTTTGTTAGTCTTGTATTATTTTTAATTTTAGTTTCTTGTGTACAATTTGGAGTTTAGTATGGCGTTCATTATCACTGAACTAGTATATATATTTGTTTAGGGGCCAGCTGAAGGACGCCTCCGGGTGCGGGAATTTCTCGCTGCATTGAAGACCTGTTGGTGACCTTCTGCTGTTGTCTGTTCTATGGTCGGGTTGTTGTCTCTTTGACACATTCCCCATTTCCATTCTCAATTTTATATAAATATTCACATGGGGACAAAGAATGGCTGAAGACTACTTGTCGTGTAATAGAAAGTCGAATATGCTAAATGCTCTTAACAGACTGTTTCTGCTAACTCTTCAAAGGTTAAATTCGCCGATTTTTACTTAACAAAAAGAAAATTAAATACCGTGTCCTTGATTATAAAAATAGAATATCAAAGGTAGATAACCGTGAAACATTTAACATGTATTTTGATGTAAAGGTGGCAAGTACCAGTTTTGGTGTACCAGAACATGTGTCCCAAGCAGAAATTTGGTTATAGTTAAGCATTGAGGTATATAATTGCATCATGTGGACTGAAAAAATAAATGAATGTAAATTCTATGCTATTGTACTACACAAGTAAGTAGTTGCATACACAGGTTGGGGATTTCCTTCACAAATGGGTCCAATCAGAAGTCAAAATTGTGGTCTCCTCACTTGACGGCATCCAATCAAAGTGGGGAAAAAATTCAGTTTTATGTAAACAAAAATATCTTGAGATTTTGATGGTAAGGATAGGTTCGGACAAGGCTCTAATTCACTGAATATCATTTATCTCTTGCATTTTGCCTAAAATTCTTGTCGGCTTTTAACAGGATTCTGCAGGTAAGGATTAGATTGGTATCAGAGCATCACATTTTTTGCCTTATTTGCAATGCATTTATAAATTTTAAAATATCCATGCTGGACAGACACCCAAATTTAAAGGTTTTCTATATATTCACATAAGCACGCACACATCTTAGTTACTTGAATCCATACATTTTATTTGTATATAAGCTTGAATGAATTTTCAAGAAAATAAAATCATAAATCCATGAAATTCTAAAGATTTATTGTAAAATAACTGGTTTCTGCCACCTTAAGCCTAAACATGATTTTAACATATCACAAAATGTGCCTTTTTAAGGGTTCAACAGGTGTGTGGTGTTACATTTCTTTTATTCACAGTCAATGTATAGGTCTGTTTGGAAGAAAATAGTTTTTACATGGATTTTAAGAATTATCAAATATCAAGACAGATAACTCTGTATACCAATACAAACAATGACACTCAATTGATTAGTTTTAAAATGATTATATTCACCAAACAATGATTTTATATCATAAAATATATAGAAATAGCAATTACAAAGAGAGAAAAAAGTAAAATAAGCCTCAGCATAGCACTAGAAAAAGCTGATTATACTGTATATTACCTGTTATAATGATTTATTTCACATGATATGGACATTTTCTTATTTATTTACTTTTTAACTATGAATATATGAATTCTTCTTTTTTTATAGGTCTACTACATAGTTGATACTGTAGGACAGGCTACAGAAATAAGAAAACTGGTCTCTCTCATCAGCAATAGTGTGGCAATTCTAAAATTTCAACATGCGGCCTACACAGCTAGCTCATGTGGAGAAGAGATATGAGACTGATTGCGAATAAATGTACACTTAGTTTAGTGCAGCATGTATCTACAAAGTGAAATATATGTACCAAAAATATTAGTTTATTCAAAACTAAGCCTTTTTCAGCACTGCAGTCAACAGAACAGTGATAGTGACAAGAATTGAGACTATTTAATACCTCAAACAATGGAAAAATACTTCCTGAGATCAGTTGTAAGTGGTTTTATATCATGCATGAAACAATAAACTAAAGTATTTTTGAGAACTGTTGGATAATTCATACACTGAACCAGAAAACTCACACAATAACATTTATTAAATATGAACACAATCCTTTTTTTCTATTTTTTTTTTTTGCATTCAAAGCAGTTTGACGGCAAAAGACACAAATATTGCTTTAATAAATTTGGTCTTACAAAGCCTATTAATGTTTTTTTTTGTGCCGTAACCATATGCACTGCATGTATTTTTAATGGTAAATGACTACAGAACTCAATCAGACTAAAAAAATGGAAATATATTCTTTTTAATAAGTGGTTAAAGGTGGCAAGTACCAGTTTTGGTGTACCAGAACATGTGTCCCAAGCAGAAATTTGGTTATAGTTAAGCATTGAGGTATATAATTGCATCATGTGGACTGAAAAAATAAATGAATGTAAATTCTAGGCTATTGTACTACACAAGTAAGTAGTTGCATACACAGGTTGGGGATTTCCTTCACAAATGGGTCCAATCAGAAGTCAAAATTGTGGTCTCCTCACTTGACGGCATCCAATCAAAGTGGGGAAAAACTTCAGTTTTATGTAAACAAAAATATCTTGAGATTTTGATGGTAAGGATAGGTTCGGACAAGGCTCTAATTCACTGAATATCATTTATCTCTTGCATTTTGCCTAAAATTCTTGTCGGCTTTTAACAGGATTCTGCAGGTAAGGATTAGATTGGTATCAGAGCATCACATTTTTTGCCTTATTTGCAATGCATTTATAAATTTTAAAATATCCATGCTGGACAGACACCCAAATTTAAAGGTTTTCTATATATTCACATAAGCACGCACACATCTTAGTTACTTGAATCCATACATTTTATTTGTATATAAGCTTGAATGAATTTTCAAGAAAATAAAATCATAAATCCATGAAATTCTAAAGATTTATTGTAAAATAACTGGTTTCTGCCACCTAAACAGGAAACAGTTCAATATAGAAGGTAAACATCTTAAAATGTTCATACTATCACTATGCTAGAAATGTCGCAGATACCTTCATGTATTTTATTTTCAACTGTAAATGATTTTTTTTGTATGTTTCAAAATTGTTAAAGCACAAAGTGACAAACTTACTTTACCGAGGCTGATCATTTTTATTCAGGTTAATTTTAACGTAAACAGATCAAACATGTAAACAGGTAATAGGTAAAATATAAATTTGACACAAGCTTCGTACATAGTTTGGATTTGTTCGAACCTATCTTCATGTATGTGTCAGTAAATACTAGTTCTCCTTACACCTTTAGAACAGTTTTTCTGACAGAGTCACGCTGTTCTACCCTAGAGGTTAAATTGGACAGTTCTTCCTAAGAACAGATTCCGAAAATTCTTCAGTTCTACCCTAGAACAGATTATGACAGGTTTACCCTAGAACTGTTTTGGAAAGTTTAACAATAGAACATTTCAAACAAAATATGCTAGAAGATCTTCGTTGCTTTTTAATGATTATCATAGTTGTTCATTTTATAAAACTAAATCAATCATTACACACGATTGTGTAATGACGTTAGGTTCAACCAGGTAGACCACTCACTGTTGAAATGATAAATAAAAAAGTATTGTCATTGTGTAATCCAAATACATGTATACATGTACCTCGTAACCTGTAAATAGATGGTACACGTCAAAGTGCATCTAGTTTTGTACAATTTTCTTTCCAATACGATCACACTTCGGTTATGCAAGGACGTATAACTAACATACGTCCTTGGGTTATGCAAGGAATGACATTTATTGTAAGTTTTTATACCAGTTTTTTTTTTTAAAGGTACAATCTTTCAATTCAAGAACGGATGCTGGTTTGATATATTTTACTACCTAAATTAGGAAATTAAAGCTATTTTGACCAAAAAATTGCCTGCAGAAAAAAACTGGACTTTATAGTTTAGTCAAGGACGTATCTAATATACGTCCTTGGTTTAGTTTACTATTCTTTCATTTTTTGTTTTCAGGAGACAGGGGCGGGTCCAGGTAAGGGCGTAATGGGCGTACGTCCCCCCTTCTCAAAAAAAAAAAAAAATATCGTTATTTGCTTATATTGTATTAAATATGGCAATTTATCCATTAAATAATTTATCATTAATTAAACACATACTCTGATTTCTTTTTATACTGATTCCCCCATCTGATGGGTGACTTGGACACCTTTTTTTAAACAACCAAAGCGGTAAGTAAATCTATACATGAAATGGTTGTTTTGTGTGACACTTCCCCAATAACCATTCTACATCTACCAGTGGGATACTCGCTATATATATGATACCGGGTATGTTCCGACAAACGGGGTTGCATTTTCAGCTAAATTGTCTGAAATGGGGTTATGTTTTTTCGCCTTGCATTGGAAGGGGTCAGATTTGACTATCTAGAACGGGGTATTATAAATACAATGTTACACTATTGTTTCAGATAAGGGTGGATGTTTGGTACCATTAAAACGTTTAAACCCGCTGTAACTGTTTGCACCTGTCCTAAGTCAGGAATCTGATGTTCAGAAGTTGTCGTTTGTTGATGTGGTTCATAAGTGTTTCTCGTTTCTTATATAGATTAGACCATTGGTTTTCCTGTTTGAATGGTTTTACACTAGTAATTTTTGGGGCCCTTTATAGCTTGCTGTTCGGTGTGAGCCAAGGCTCCGTGTTGAAGACCGTACTTTGACCTATAATGGTTTACTTTTATAAATTGTGACTTGGATGGAGAGTTGTCTCATTGGCACTCATACCACATCTTTTTATATCTACTAAATTGAAAACAACGTTCAAATCTATGATTGCGTTGGATAAAAACTGCAATTTTTATACGTGTGCATGCAAAATAAATTTCTTTGTAAAGGGGTCTAAATACAGCACAAACAACATTTTCCAAAAGACCAAAACAGTGAAAAGGTATATTTTAACAAAACGGGTATATATATCAAAAGTTCAGAAAAAGCTATCGTTAAAGATTTATTTTTCATTTTTCATGCCCATTTCATATAACCTTTTAACTGAATTTACAACTTCTTCCAAAGATTTGATATCCACATGTTAATCAATACATAATTTGAATGATCAGAAGGCAGACTATTTTCACCAATTTGTCTATCATGGAGTCTGTTATAATACTTCATAATTTGATGCTAAATTGTTGAAATCCAGGAGCTTCTGACCTTCCCCGTGGACCCTATACCAGGGCAACCAGAATTACGCCTCCCGTTCATAAAATCCTGGCCTAGGACTATTAAAATGTAAAGTAACGCCCTATACCCTAGAATTTGGAATTTCTCGTTATTGGTCTACTGCTGTTAAGATCCATCCAATCATTTTAATATACCATAGACAATTGATGGAGAGAATTCGGCATAACAAATATCAAACCCTGACACTTTAACTATAAAATATACATGCTCCAAATCAGTAACCGTTGCATTAGTTCATTTCACAATTATTTTATGTTTTTTAGCCCAAAAAAGGTCCAAAAAAATTTTCGCCTCGGTCCGCTCGGCCAAATATAGTATTATACGCCCCCTCTTTCAAATATCCTGTAAACGCCACTGGGAGAGGAGGGGAGGGAAGGGAAGTAAAGACAATTATTAATTGTTCTGACCCCACTGTGGATTAGATCAATCATAAGAATTTTACTGAATTATAACAAATAAGATGTGGTGTGATAACCAATGAGACAACTATCCATAGACCAAAGGACAAAGATGTAAAAAATTACAGGCCAGTACGACCTTCAACATTGAGCAAAATCCATACCATATACATGTATAGTTCAGTAAGCCTTAAAAGGCCCGGCAATGACAAAATGTGAAACAACCCTTTAGTTCCATGACTCAATTTTTTCTGTTTGATTAAAAGTTTATGCTGAATTGAAACATATATTTAGATTTAAAAAACAATATTGCATCTTTTCTGGGATATCAAACCAAGAAAGTGGAAGGATATCATGTTTACTGGAAGTGGTGCAGCCTAGTAAAAACAGCAAACAGAAAGTTGAAAAAAATAGTTTTGACTTCAGGGTTTCATAACTTTTTATTCTTCGTGGCATGAGGCACTTTTTTTTCGATTAAATCATAATTTCACATTACTTCATACATGATATGTACATGAAATTTTTTTCGATGTAGCATTTTATTTTTTAAAAAAATTTCAAAAATCAGTGTTTTGCATGTAAGCCTATGCCCTATGGAGCAGTCAATTACAAGACTGCAACCTTGACATAGGGAATTTTTTTAATATGTTCACTGCAAGAAGGATTTTTTTCTCCTTAAAAACTTCTTGTGATGAAAATTCTAGTTGAGCAGTTTCATTTAAAGTCAGTGTAAAGTTGAATAGACAGTTACATACAAAACTCATTTTTATACGACCGCAAAAATCGTGTATTGCTATCACATCGTCGTCGTCGTCCGAAGACATTTGGTTTCAGGACAATAACTTTAATCAAAAGGTTGGGGGTGATGGTCCCAACCGTTTAGGAATTAGGTTTTTTAAGTTTATGTGTATGGATGTCTCTTAAATTGTACCACATTTTACAAAAAAAAAATTTGGGGGGGGGCAATTTTTTTTCCTCAAGATTTAAGAAATTAAAAAGAAAATTTCTTCAAATATTATTTTTTTGGAGGGGGGTAAAAAAAAATTTTTTTGAGGGGGTGTCAATTTGTTTTCCTCAATATATCAGAAATTCAAGATATCAGAAATTGTCAATTTTCCAAAGAAGAATTGGGGGCACAATTTATTTTGCTAATTCTTTGGATATAGTCTGAAAACAGATTTACTAAGTATTGCGCATCAGCACAGTGTATTGCACAACAGCAAGAAATCTTCAATTCAAATCATATAACCAATTTCAAGTTCTTTGACTACATTTATTCTGTGTCAGAAACCTTTAATGTGTCAAATATTTAATTATACCCCACGCAACGAGTTGCGGAGGGTATAATGTTTTTGACCCGTCCGTCCGTCCGTCCGTCCGTCTGTCCGTCTGTCCGTCTGTCCGTCCGTCAGTCCGTCAGTCCGTCAGTCCGTCAGTCCTGTTTCTTGTCATCGCAACTCCTCTCAAACCACACAACAGAATTTCACGAAACCTTTTTAGATAATAAGGACATACTATATAGTTGTGCATATCGACAGGAAATTACGATTCAATTCTTTTTCTAGGAGTTACGCCCCTTTGAACTTATTTACTTTAATGTACTACTGCAACAGTTTGTCATCGCAACTCCTCTCAAACCACACAACAGAATTTCATAAAATCTTTTCAGATAATAAGGACATACTATGTAGATGTGCATATCGACAGGAAATTACGATTCAAATTTTTTTCCAGGAGTTACGCCCCTTTGAACTTATTTGCCCAATATACTACTGCAACCTTTTGTCATCGCAACTCCTCTCAAACCACACAAAAGAATTTCATGAAACTGTGTAGATAATAAGGACATACTATGTAGATGTGCATATCGACAGGAAATTACGATTCAATTTTTATTCCAGGAGTTACGCCCCTTTGAACTTATTTGCCCAATATACTACTGCAACCTTTTGTCATCGCAACTCCTCTCAAACCACACAACAGAATTTCATGAAACCTTTTCAGATAATAAGGACATACTACGTAGATGTGCATATCGACAGGAAATTACGATTCAATTTTTTTCCAGGAGTTACGCCCCTTTGAACTTATTTGCCCAATATACTACTGCAACCTTTTGTCATCGCAACTCCTCTCAAACCACACAACAGAATTTCATGAAACTGTGTAGATAATAAGGACATACTATGTAGATGTGCATATTGACAGGAAATTATGATTCAATTTTTTTTTCTGATACAATTTTTTTTTCTTACACTTATTTTATTTCTCCAATGACAATGTGGGGACGTGGGGTATGTGAGCGCGCTCACTAAGGTTCTTTAATTACAATCCAAATTCTGACCTGTATCAAGCTTGAATATTGTGT